CTCACACCTTTTCCCTGGCTTTCTTTATCAATATCATTTTTATACCTCACTCCCCCTTCATTGGTCTCTGGCCCCTCGGAATTATCGGAATGTCATTGTCCACGGCTTCGCGAGTAGAATCGAAACGGGACACGAAGGTAATTTTCATCAAGCCAAAGGCTGTATAATTAGGCAGCGCTCACCAAAAAGGCTTCAATTGCCATGGACTTGGTAGGGAGGAAAATACCAATGCTAAAGTCGGAAAATGCGTAACTCCAATTGCGACGTTGCAATCTCCCGCACGCCTTTTATTTATTTCCTTTTTAAAAGAAACTACCCACAGTTTTTCTCAAAATTGGCTACAAATTTTCTTCTCTCATTGAAAAATATTCATCGACTTTTTTTTTAAATAAATCGAACACTAGCGAAGCTTTCGAAACGTTGCGACAGAGATTTGCATTTTTTCGACTTTGCCCATCGAAATGCTTGATTTCCAATTGCAACGTTGCAAACTTCCGCGCGCATTTTGTTTATTTATTTTTCAAAGAACCTACCAACAGTTTTTCTCAAAATTTTCTATGAATTTTCTGCTCTCATAAAAAAAATATTCATCGGCCACTTCAAAAGACTCATTTTTTTCAAAGGAAATCGGACATTATCTACGATAATGAAACGTTGCAGTAAAGATACGCATTTTTCCGACTTTAGCCATCGGTGTGCTTGATCCTTGATTCCTCTGTAAAGAACCTAACGTCAAGAGCAAAATTGGAGATTATTTTTGGCACCTTTATACTTTTTTGTAAGCTTAAATCGAGTAGAGAATATTATGTTTCTGAACTATCCTTGTCTGTCAATTTAAGAACACTTGTCTCATTAATGATAAGTGGGCATGTTCATAATATACTCATCAGTGCCAAGCATGCTCTTTAATTGGACCCAATATGTTAGAAAGCATTAGAAAACGTCTAAATTTTTAAAAATTAAAAATAGCTGCTCTTGACCGAAAATCGGATGTCTTGCTATGCTGAACAATTCGAAAGTCTTTATCCGTGCAAAGGAAAAACGCCGTATCAGCCTTTCTAGGATGCCAAATTTACTTTGATAAAATAAAAATTTTCAGGAAAATCTGAGAATATTTCTCTCCGAATTTTTCAGAGAATTTCATTCGCGATCAGATTAAATTATGTAAAAGTTTCAAGCAAAAGTATTCATAAGTCTCCTTAAACATAAAAATTTCATGGGGATAAATTTGGCAACTCTCGAATGTTCATACAGCGTTTTCCTCGGCATGTCAGTATAAAAGGAGTGTGCATGGAAATTTGGGAGCGTCGTAAATCAAGGTGGGAAGCTTTCGAGTTAAGTCATCGTATTGTAATATTCCTGCGCCAACGTCCTCAGGGACATGCATGCAAATTTCTGGATCTTAGCTCCGAGCCTAATATGAGTTGACTGTACTCGGAAAAGGGAAGGCGGGAAAGGAGAGCCAGGAGAGGGAGGAAGCGAGAAATAGAGGTCAAACGGAATGGTAACTGTCCCGGGTTGAGGAGACTGGTGGGACAAGTACCCAAGAGTTGCTGGAGAGACGTTAAGTCAGTGAACGGGAAAGCAACCTGAAACGGAATGACAAATGTTTCTTGAATTAAGTATTAAAACTTGAATCCGTGCGCGTCAAACTTGGCGCTCGCCTCTCAAAGGATGCGCGGGGTTGACGTGCCGAGAATTATCAGTTTTATGTACTTGCACCTAAGTGCGCTAGACTCCTCTTGGCTCATCGCATAGTTCACGCGAGTTTATGACATCTGTGAAGATGGGATTGAGTGACATGCTTTTGTCGAGAAAATGCTGCGTTGCTCTACAAGAACAGGAAGCAGTTCAATTAATTAATATAAAACAAATCAAATTAAAAAAAAAAAAACTAATGTGTTTTTCTGGAGTGACTAATTGAATGACCGGCGGACTTTTTAACACACGTAAAGTCGATATAACTGATTTAAATGAACTGTTGATTTTATCCTAACGCAAGTTTACGAAGATAATTATAATTTCAAAATGAACATTCTACATGACGGTATGTTGGAGTTTTTAGCCAACGTGCGTTAAATTCAGCGTAAAGCTGAAATTCAGGAGGTTACACTGTACTGAGGATTTGCATTGGCCCAACAAGGCCGAAACGCATCTGCAGTTGCCTTTTTGAAGGTTTCAGGACATTTTGTCAACGAATTTTTGTGCGCGCACCTTTTTTGTCCAGTAGTTTACTCCCACACGTAAAATAAGCAACAGTGACTTGGTCCAAGTGTTATATTTTAGTCGGTATGTAACATTTTATTGACAATATGAAATTGAGAGAGAAGGAGGTGTTGTTACGGTTGCTCATTTTCTAAATGAAATGTTACTTTCTCCTTTTGATTCATCTTTTTAAATTGTCATTGGTGAATATATGGTTTTATTTCTATCCTTAAAATATTCGATGTACAATATACCTTACATATCTATAGGTACTTTTTTTATTTTTTTTTAATTTTTTTTTTACGAAATTATTACCTCATTTTGTGAACATTTATATTTTTAAAACCTTTTCCAAGCGATGGCATCGATATTAATCTCAATGAGCCGCAGACGTGCCGAAAGGAGGCACCAATATTTAAAAAAACACATTATATTATTACTCTCCTTTGATCAATTGATACATGTTTATTTTTGGATCAATTTAAATGAGAATAATCAATGCAGAGTGTGCAAACATTTCAAAATCATCAGTTAAAAAACGCTGAAGACTATGCGAGTATAAATATTAGAGCCTAACAGAGCGGAGCGGAGTGCTGCCAGCGTGAGAGGCTCACTGGCGCCTACAAACCTAAGTGGATACTTCTCGCATTTCACAATGCTTGGAGTATCCACTTAGGTTTGAAGGCGCCAATGCGCGTTCCGCGCTCACCGCTCGCCCGCCGTGCGGCGGCGCCTGAAGCAACGTCGTGAGCAATTGTCGTTTGTATTTACATGTGGACCAATTAACTTTGGATCTCAACTGGCACGTGTACCAAAACCTCCGTGCCGAAAAAACGCGCGGACGTAAATCACTGGGAAAAAAAGGTGCGCGGACAAAAAATCGTTGATGAAATGTCCTATAACCCTTCCTGAATGGTTGTCGCTAGTGTTGCATCCAACAGCGTATCTCTTTGAGGGAAAATTGTGCTCGTGTGTGAGTTTTTTTCCCTCTGTATTGTGATATAAGCTTTACGCTGAATATAACGCACATTGCGGCTAAAAACTCAAACATGCCGTCTTACGACCCATGCGTTCACCGCAATCAGTTTGTTTGATGCTACATGAGCGAAAAAATTCCAAGATAAGGCGTAAATTACGGATTTATTTGATTTTTTTTGTTGATGGTCAAGCGCTGTAGGAAATACCTCCGCCATACAATACCTGATTATGTGTGTAAGAAGTTAGGGAATGAATACACCCATAAGCACGTAGCGAGCTGAATGTGTGGGCCTTTTCAGTGGCTCCGTGAGAGAGGTGATACTGTTTCCAAAAACTGTGTCAAATGCAAAGATTAATGTTCTCTGAGACCTTCAAACGATATTTGAAATAGTTTTGAGTTGTTTAACTATGATACACTGCAGAGAGTACACTGTTTGAAAAAAATATGTCTCGCCCTGAGGTACGTCCTAGAAAGACATTCGACAGATATGCTTGATTAACTTATGCCATAACCCAGAGACTTTTCTGACGTGTTATACGCCCAGCAAAGATTATGCGACCGCTTTTTAATACGAAAGAGTTACGATAGTAATTAATATCTCACAAAAATCAATGCATCTCATTCCCCAATAGAGAATAAAACAGAAAGTTATGGAAAAGCGTTGATGGATAAGACTACCACGAACAGGAATATCCTAGAGACCAGGATTGATCGCTTCTCACTGGGAAAAGTTTAATTTTTCGAGATCAATGGTTAATACTCATCAATGTTAACTGATTTCTAATGATTTGTCGCTTTGATTTACCATTGATGGAAGAATCAGCGTTATAAGTTGAGCTTTATAATGACTAACTAAATGAGTCCGGTAGAAAGCTCAACGAAAACTGTAAATCGATATTTGAGACTCCAAGTCAGTTTTTTCGCGGTAAGGAGACAAAGCAATTAGAATGGGTCAGTTGCGCTGGTCACATAATTGTGTTTTCTTGCTTGATTCTTGGTGATCAGTTGAAAATGATCTACGTTCAATATTCACCGAGGAATCGCGCCTTGAAAAACTCGATTAATAACGTCATTCACCGCGGTGATACACATATCGACGGTGAAACTACCAAACCACGTATCTCGTTTGCGGTGTTTAAAAATCTACGCTCGCATTTTATTTTTTTGAAGTCGACCAAATCAATATCATTCCTTGAAATTTTCACAGAATTTTCTCCGCACAAAGAGGAAAAATCACAGAAATTTTCAAGACTAGACGTTAAGTAGTTTTTCATTTAAAAATAAAGTATGACAGGAAGTCTGCGACGTCGCAAACTGAGATACGTGGTTTGGTAGTTTCATCGTCGATATGTTATGCGTAACCTTGGTTGATAACGTCATAAATCTAGTTTTTCAAGGCGCGGTATTTCGGTTAATATTGAACGTAGAATGTTGCTGTTTGGACAGACCTTCTTATTTTTGGCTGATCAACGAGAATGAAGTGTCAAAGCACAATTCTGGGACCACGCAACTGACTCATTTCCATTTTAAGAGCTCTTTTGCCGACACCGAAAAAAAAGTGAAGTTGAAGCGAGTACTTATGAAATGCTGAATTATCCACCACTGCAGTTTATTTTACATCCTGGCATTGCTGAAGTAACTGCTACAGTGGGCAATTCAGCATTTTATAAGTTCTCGCACACTTTTTTTTCATCCAGAATGTTGAATCAGCTTCACTTTTTTTTCGGTGTAAAATCATCACATTTGTGTGTAACGTGGGATTCTCTAGGATATTCCTGTCCGCGGATACGACGAAATCGGAATTAGAAGCACTTACATTGGCCCGAAATTTCGGATCAAGGTCTAAATGCGCCCGCTCGTCGTCGCTGGAGGAGACGGTCGTGACGTGGTGGTTCTGCTTCCCGACGGCTGTTTCCGCCTCCGGCTGCCGCGCGAAGACGTCGAGCACAATATCGTCGCCAGCTTCTCCGGCGCCCGGATTCGAGCCGGATCCGGAGCCGATCCCGTTGGAGGAGCTGCTCCGGAACAACTGGATCTCGCGGGATTTCCGGAAGAGCATCACCTCTTCCTCCCGGTTCATGGCGGGAGACGCGGATGTTGGCCGGCATGGACCGACTCCGGATCTGCCCCGAGCGCGTTCCACCTTTCGGGCGTGCCCGCGCGTGAGCCCTCACGCCTCGGAACACGCCTCCGGAAAACCCGAAATCCGGAAAACCAACTGCCGGAACACCCGGAGTCCGGGCGACCCGGGATCCGGAGAACCAGGTATCCCGAAAACTCGAAATCCGGAAAACCAACTACCGGAATACCCGGAGTCCGAGATCCGGAGAACCAGGAATCTGGAAAACCCGGAATCCGGAAGACCAGGTATCCGGATAACCCGGAATCCGGAAAATCACCACCGTGTTTCCCGACGGCTTTCACATTGTTCTAACAGTTTCGTATTGCTCCTCGATGAGATATTCACTAACGTCGTTAATTCGTCTTTTAGCACTGATTGGCATCGTTTGTCCGCGGTTTGAGGGAACGTCAGTGCTGGTTGTGGACGTGCTGTGCAGTTCCACTCCGACGAGCCGAAACTCGTCAAAGGATTGTAGCGCGTCGTGCGTTTAGCAACGGCAAACAGCATTGTTCATTCACTACTTGGGATATTTTGAAGATGATGTGATGGTGCGTGGAAAATATCCTGTGTTGACAGGAACATGAACCTGGTTGGTACATAAAAGACAAATATTCTACAAGCAGCTCATAGCAAATCGACGGTGAGAGTCCCAAATTGGATTGCATTTTGCAAAAAGGAACCAGGAGCATCGCAATGTCGCCAAGATTGTGCAACTTCTTTCGTCTTGCGAGAAAAACCTGATTATCCATTAACAGTTTCTATTTTACTCGCTAAAAACTTTAAATTTAAGACAAAAATTACCATGTGAATTTCATATTTTTTCATGATTTCAGTAATTTTATTGCAAAGGCTGAAGTTGCACAATCATGCATCATTGCAATGCTTCTGGTTCCTTTTTGCAAAATGCAATCCAATTACGAATCTCGTTTGTGGTGTTTTAAAATCTCCACTCTCATTTCATTCTTCTAAAGGAGAACGAATCAACATTATTCCATGAAGTTTTCACAAAATTTTCTTTTTACAAAGAAGAAAAATCACAGAAGTTTTAAAAAATGGACGTGGAGTAGTTTTTCCATTAAGGAGTAAAGTATGACAAGAAGTCTGCAACGTTGCAAACCGAGAGACGTGGTTTGGGAGTTTGACCGTCGGAATACAATGGAAATACAAAAAGTAAAGTTGCAACCTGGGAAACAAGGCTATGAAAAGTAAGGATGACAGCATGATCAGAGAATCAATCCTCCAATTCTTGAGATTCTCTATTTTGACTTTTATGAGCGGAGCGGCGTGCTGCCAGCGTGAGAGGCTCACTGGCGCCTACAAACCTAAGTGGATACTTCACGCATTGCACAATGCTTGAAGTATCCACTTAGGTTTGCAGGCGCCAATGCGCGTTCCGCGCTGACCGCCCGCCCGTTGACTAGCTCGTTTTTTATTTTTTTCTTTGTTTCCCACGTTTCAACTTCTTTATCGTATTTTTGCGGTTCGTACATTTATAATCATGAACAAAAACAAAATACTTTTAGGAAACGACAGTTACAATAAGTTCTTAAGAAGTAAAATATAAAGATAAAAACTACGTATAGTTTTTTGCAACTTTTCAATCCTCAGAGACCTCGGGTTAAACAGAGAGATAAAATGTTGATAGGTTTTCAAAAATTAAAACGCTGGAGCCAATTTCGACCATAGACTATCTTTATCCATTTCATCATCCCAAACTAGTTCCCAATAGTTCTATTGCCGAGGTGTGATTATCCTTCATTTAGGGAGGTATTCAAGAATACTTTCATCGGACTCGAAAAAGTTTCATCACCTTATTAGATTTTTTACCGGCTGTTCCCTGTTTTTACTCAATTGAACCCTACCCGCGCATATCACCTGTATCTTACGAATAGGTCCGTAAATCACAGAGGCGGTCTCAATGTTGGCGTTTGGTGTACACACTCATGAGAATGACAGTTGAGTAAAATATATTTTAGGAGATACATTCGTCAATTTTAAGTCTATTCGTCGCCATCTCAGAATCGACTGATTTCGAGAAGAGGGCACAGTTCAATGCACAGAAAAACATCGGCCGTATCAGCGCCGGACAGTAGTCTGAGTTATTGGAAGAAACTGGATATGATAAGGAAACTTTAAAATCTTAATACAAAATGTAGACGGTTGGAAGCGGTTTCATTGGTTTTCTCGTAAAAGTTTTTTTAAGAGTCCCCATAGGACTTATTATGAGAAGAAATTAACATTGAATGCAACTTTGGTTGAACATTTTAAGTCCGAATTTTCCCATTTATTTCCTCCAGTGTGCGCCAGCTGCGCATCATCCAGTGGATATTGAATGCATCTGGAATTTGAATCAGTGAAATGGAAATAGAGAGACGATAAGGTCCACCCCTTTTCCTGATCCTGGAATTCACACAACGATGACCCTCTCCCGGATTCAGGACCCCGTCGGGAAAAAGGGATATCAGCGGAGTGAATTCATCCAAATTTTTCGTCTACCCAACCGGTTGCTACGGTTACTGAGGAGGGCGAAAATCTTAGAGATTTTCTTTCATAAATCGAGCCCGTCCACGAATAAGGGACCTAGAAACGTGGAGGTGAATTTCTCGGAAAAAATATTCCTGTCAAGTTGAATGGGGGGAAAAAACAGAATTTAAACGGTTTTTTTTTTTATTTAATTTTGTAATTACACATATTGAATTACAACTTATATTACTAGACCTTACGAGTCTTTACAAATTTTCCTTTAAGCCTAATATAATAAAAAAGAAATAAACACCGCTTTATGGATTAAATTAATGAGAATGAAAATGAAGGATGAACAAATGAGATAGAAGTAAAATCCTGTAAAAAGCGGGAGAAAAACTAACTGATATTAACTATAATTATTCCTAGAACTAGATTCTAGAGAATTTTTCTACTAACTATGCTTTCGCCCTGTCAGTCGACTAAGACTGGTAAGGGCCAGAGGCACGAGCCTAACACCGACGGAAATGAGCTGTGCTCAACTCATGTGGTTTGCGTCTTTTTAACCTCCGGGTCTCGGAGCCCCAATCCAAAAGCGCTATTGCTTCGGGATTGGGGTGACCGCCCAGTCTCTCTTCATATCTATTGTACATACGTGAGATGTACATGTCCATCTCTTCGATCCCGAGCTCATCTCTAATATCGATGTTACGCTCGTACCACCTGGCCCCTGCCATTTGTCTGAGTATTTTATTTTGAATTGTCTCAATAATTTTGAGATTGGAACTGGCGGCACACGCNCCCGAAATCCGGAAAACCAACTGCCGGAACACCCGGAGTCCGGGCGACCCGGGATCCGGAGAACCAGGTATCCCGAAAACTCGAAATCCGGAAAACCAACTACCGGAACACCCGGAGTCCGGGATCCGGAAAACCAGGAATCTGGAAACCCCGGAATCTGGAAGACCAGGTATCCGGAAGACCCGGAATCCGGAAAATCACCACCGTGTATCCCGACGGCTTTCACATTGTTCTAAAAGTTTCGTATTGCTCCTCGATGAGATATTCACTAATGTCGTTAATTCGTCTTTTAGCACTGATTGGCATCGTTTGTCCGCGGTTTGAGGGAACGTCAGTGCTGGCCGTGGGCGTGCTGTACAGTTCCACTCCGACGAGCAGGAACTCGTCAAAGGATTGTAGCGCGTCGTGCGTTTAGCGACGGCAAACGACATTGTTCATTCACTACTTGGGATATTTTGGAGATGATATGATGGTGCGTGGAAAATATCCTGTGTTGACAGGAACATGAACCTGTTTGGTGCATAAAAGATATATATTTTACACTGGAAAAAAAAAACACATTGGATCTAGAGTCCAGACTCTTGAAAACATTGACAAGAAAAAGGACTCTAGATTCAATCAGATTTTAGCTTAAATCAAAAGGAAATCCGCTCAAATTAAGAGGCTTGGTTCTTGATTTAAACAAAAATCCGATTGAATCAAGAGTATTTTTTCTTGTCGATGTTTTTAAGAGTCTGGACTCCAGATCCAATGTGTTTTTTTCCGGTGTACAAGCAGCTCATAGCAAATCGACGGCGAAAATCCCAAACTACGTATTTCGTTTGTGGTGTTTTAACATATCCACTCTCATTTCATTCTTCTAAAGGAAAACGAATTAACATCATTCCTTGAAGTTTTCACAATTTTTACAGAAAAGAAAAATCACAGAAGTTTTAAAAAATGGACGTGGAGCAGTTTTTCACTCAAGGAGTAAAGTATGACAAGAAGTCTGCAGCGTTGCAGACCGACATACGTGGTTTGAGAGTTTGACCGTCGAAATACAATGGAAATACAAAAAAAGAAGTTGCAACCTGGGAAACAAGGCTAGGAACAGAAAAGATGAGAGCATGATCGGAATCAATCCTTCAATTCTTGAGATTCTCTATTTTGACTTTTTTGAGCGGATCGGCGTGCTGCAAGCGTGAGAGGCTCACTGGCGCCTACAAACCTAAGAGGATACTTCACGCATTGCACAATGCTTGAAGTATCCACTTAGGTTTGTAGGCGCCAATGCGCATTCCGTGCTGACCGCCCGCCCGTTGACTAACTCGTTTTTTATTTTTTTTCTTTGTTTCCCACGTTTCAACTTCTTTATCGTATTTTTGCGGTTCGTACTTTATAATCATGAACAAAAACAAAAAATCTTAAACGACAGTTACAATGAGTTCTTAAGAATTAAAATATAAAGATAAAAACTACATATAGTTTTTTGCAACTTTTCAATAGTTAAACAGAGAGATAAAATTTTGATAAGTTTTCAAAAATTAAAACGCTGGAGCCAATTTCGACCATAACCTATCACCATCCATCCTATCACCTTTCATCATTCCATCCTAGTTCCCAATAGTTCTATTTCCGAGGTTTAATTATCCTTATTCATTTAGGGAGGTATGCAAGAATACTTTCATCGGACCCGAAAATTTTTTATCACCTTATTAGATTTTTTTCCGGCTGTTCCCTGTTTTTATTCAATTGAACGTAACCATGCGCATATCACATGTATCTCACGAATAGGTCCGTAAATCACAGAGACGGTCTCAATGTTGGCGTTTGGTTTACACACTCATGAGAATGACAGTTGAGTAAAATATATTTTAAGAGATCCATTCGTCAATTTTAAGT